GTCGGTTGGAAAAGCAGCTGGAGCGCGGGCGTAGACAGGAGGAAGGGGTCCATCGTTTGGAAGAGCAGCTCAAACGCGTTAAGGAAGAGCAGATGCGTCTCATGAAGGACCTTCACGCAAGGACCTTCTTAATGGAGGAACGATGGCTCTGCGCCACAGACCACGTCTCTTAGACAGACCAATTACACGTACCAAACGTGCTGCCTATGCATCAACAAATCGAGCATTGATACTAATAAAGGACACACTCACTCAAAACGATGAAATTGACATATTTGCAGACAGTATGACACGTCTTCTGACTCCTTTTTATAAAATTATTGATAATAAGACAATTGATAATTCGACAATTTAATTTGCTTGACTATGTACTATTTATTACTTTGTATTTAAGATGTAATTTTGATTATGGGCATATATTTTAATTAGCTTTTATTGACATTACATTATAAATTTACATGACAAAATATTTCATAGCCCGACATAGTATGATTGCTTTATTGTTTATTACCATTTTAATTTCGCAACACGGGCTGCTAAAGGCTTAGAGATTTTATATCACTAATATTGTATAATTGTTTAATTTATGATTATTAATTTTAATTATTAATTTGTAAGTGATAACTATTAATTTTTGTTGTTATAATTGGATGCAATTTTTTAAATATTTTTGCATGTAAAATTTAACCTTGTGCGCGTGTTGGATTTTCTGTAAGCCACAAAAGTTTTTGATTTAAATAAATTAATAAAAATAAAAATTAATATAAATAAAGAGATAAGGGAGGTGAAGGATAGGGTTGCTCAACATGACAACCGCCTGTCGGAAGCGGAAACTCGAATCAACCAAGTGAACAACCTGATGGCTGACATGAAGAAAACGCTGAACGACCCCAAACTTGGGGATGGAACTACAGCTCCCGTAGTAGCAACTATACCTTCGCTATGTGGGTTTAAAGTGCCGCCGTTCGTCGGGACTTCCTGGTCGGCCTACAAAATCCAGTTCGAAGCTGTTAGAAGGCGCACGGCTGGAATAGAGGTCAGGCCATGACTGCTCTCACACTAGGCCTGCGCAACCAGGCCTTAACTGTTCTGGAAGCTCTCGGTGAGGAAGTGACTTATGAGCAGCTTCTTGAGGTATTGGAGGCGAGATATGATGACGCTCACCAGTCACCGTCACTGCTCACACGTCCTTCGTGCGCAGCTTAAAGATGGCGTACAACGCATCAACGAAAACTTACAGCAGTGGGCTCTTGAGGTGGAGAAGCTGGTTCGAAAAGCAAACCGGTCTGTACCTGCGCTCATTGTAGGGCACCTGGTGCAGACATTCATTAACGTCCAAATCGCAAACGCGACTTTGAAGGCAGAGCTGCTGTGAGGCTCGGGCAACACGAGACACTTAAGGATGCCATGGCCCATGCACTGGAGGTGGAAGCCGTGCGGCAGGATCATCGTTCCTATCGCATCAGGGAGGTTGCAGCTGCTACAATTCACGACTGCAATATAGGATACAGCCCTAGGTGCTATGGCTGTGGGGAAAGGGGCCATCTTCGATCCAGCTGCCCTAAGCGAACTGTAGAAAGGGAAGGTGATCGATCTCGAAGGGTAGTGCGGCCAATGATGTTAAAAGAGCCTCAAGGATCTCGATCTCACAAACCCATGAAGGGAACAGCCTAATCATCAAAGGCGAAGTCAACGGAATGCGGTGTAAACTGACCATAGATACTGGAGCCTCTCGCACGGTTGTCAGTTCCCAACTTATAAATCAGTTCCTTGGGGACTCCGCATACAACCGAGAACGCATTGATTTAGTGACAACCACCAGTCAGCGCATACCCGTCCGTGGAGAGAAGGAGATGGAGTTGAAGCTAGGCAACATGATCTACCTGCATAATGTCATCGTGGCTGATATAATGGACGACTGCATCCTGGGCCTAGACTTCATGTGGAAGAATTGTTGTGAGATTGACGTTAACAAGGTGTTTTCCAATGTAGACAAGAGGAGCTTTTCGTGGAAGGGGCGTTACCAGGGAACGTGTACAGTCTTAAGAAGTTTGTTCTTACGCCGTGATCGGAAACGATTGTTCCGGTTAGTCTTCCTCGGAATCCTGGGCAAGCTCATCGTTGTGTAATCATGGAAAGGGTAGAGAATCACCTTTCACGGAAAGTGGCTCGTAGCTTGGTCAGAACCACTAACATCTAAGGAACACGATTGCTGAACCTTTATGACCAGGAACAGATTATAGAAAAAGGCACACTGGTTGGTACTTGTGCGGAAGTGGATTTGTTGCGTCGGTGCTAATATCTATCGAGTGGGATCCCCCGCAAGGATAGACAAACGACAGTGACCACACTTTTAGAAGACTGTCGCAGCGTTCTCTCCCCGAACGAAATGGTCAAGGCGAAGAAGTTGTTACTCAAGTACGCCGATGTATTCTCGTCAAACGATGCTGACAAAGGAAAGACTGGCTTAGTTCAACACAAAATAAACACAGGAGAAGAATTGCTTATCCGTCAGCGACCAAGAAGATTGCCAGTAGCACGTGAAAAATAAGTGATGACCATGATTGAAGGAATGGAGAAGGATGGTGTTATTGAACCTTCATCTAGTCCATGGTGTCCACCCGTCATGCTGGTAAAGATGTAGGACGGCAGCATGCGGTTTTGTGTTGACTACCGCCGTCTGAACGATGTTACAAAGAAGGACAGCTATCCCTTGCCAAGAATTGATGACACGCAGGACATGCTTACAGGAGTAAAGTGGTTTAGCACTGGATCTATCTGAAAAGTGGCTAATGGCAAGTTGAAATTGACCGTAAGGACAAGTTTCTATGTTCAAAGGACTATAGTGAGCATGGAGGTTAGAGAACCTCCACTCCATAACAGTGAGTTTAAACTGGATCTATGGATATTTTGAGAGTTTTGGCGGGAACTTGGCCGACGACGGACTGTCGCTCCTGTTTTGTCGCTTGAATAATGGTTTAAAGTAAATTTTAATTCGTAAAAGTGATGTGATTTTGTGAATTAATTGTCTGCGCGTGTCAACTATTAGAGAAAACGACGAAACAAGTGCTTTGATATCGATATAAACCTTAAGTTATTTTGATCGCTTAGGCGCCTTATTAACTTGAGTGACTGTCGACATCATCTATCGGCTTCGCAATGTGACGCATCAGCATATTCTGAAGAAAAGAAAAAAAAGCGCGAGAACCTGGAAACTGGACTGATAAATCTAAATGGATTGAAACTTATAGAGCCAAGTCTTTATATTATATAAAGACTTGGCTTTAGCCTTTGTGGTTTTTGAAAATATGAAGAATTAAAGAAAATAAGACTTGACTTCGGCTTTTATGGATTTTGAAGAGATGGAAAGACGAAAAATAAGACTTGATTCCGGCCTTTACACTTCAAAATACTATATATTCAAATTTAAAAAAAAAAGGCTGTATGGCTTAGTTCCTTTGTCTTCTCTCTCGAGGGAATAATAAAAACAACAACTATGGATATTTTGACATAATGGAATGGACATAAAGCGGGCTACATACGACACGATATCGGTGGCGATCTAGGGTGGAGTAGTGGGGATGCCTCCTAGATTGCCTCTAAATCGTCTCGTATGTAGGGCCATCCTAAGTCGTGGCCGATATCGCCTCCTTAATCGGCTGGCAGGAGCAAAAATGCTTCCTAGATCAGCCGATGCTTCCTAGATCGGGGCACCACCCCCTCCTTACTGCGTGTGTGTAGGCGCATCGGCCCGATTTCTTTTGGCAGTCGCTGCCGGCAACCCTCGCGGAAGGAAGTTAACAAAACAGTGATACTGAATGACCTTTTTTATATAACAAAATTTTTACATTTTAATCATATAAACGGAGTAGAAGCCTATGGCACTGATATTTTACAAAAAACCAAAAAAAGTGAATAAAATAAATAAATTAATTGAAATTTTATCGAAATTCAAATCATATCCACCCTAGCCTGTGACCCTGCGAAGTGACATGGTCAAGAATGCCTTAAACTATTTTTTTTATTGCCGTTCGTAAAGTAGAGTGTATGATGTAAGTAAGGAGAAGATAAAGCCTCTCCTCAACAACTAACTCCTATTCCAACGCTATCAACACAAGACCGCACTCATATCTCTTACAACTCCACAAGACCACACTTCGATCTCTTACGTGCCTTCATCCCCTTATCAACAACTAACTTCTACTCCTTCACCATCTCCACATCAACAAACAAGTTATATAAAAGGGAGTATGTCCGAAATTAAAGGTTTCTTTATGTTTAAAAAAAGATATAAGCTATTTTATTTTATGATAGTTTTACTCCATAAATAAAGATTACATTAAAAAAAAGTATACATATTATTATACAAAAGTATTTTATTTCCTTGTTTGTTGTGTGTAATACATAACCAGATTTTGACCAAAGCAGAAATTAACAAAGAGAAGAAATAACTAAATAGCATAGGTAGGAGAAATTGACGTTTTTATATAAGAGAAGAGTGAGTAGAAGGTTATAAAAACTGTCTTCATCCATCCAGAGAAAATTAATCACGTCCTTGGATTACAGGCCATTTAGTACGTTTATGTGGCTTAATTTTTATCTCTTTTGGAGCCATTTTTTCACCCAGCAACTTCTCTTTTTCTATTTTCGAATAAATTAACCGAGAGGGCTAATGCCAAACCAACACGTTGGTGTTTTAAAAGAATTGAAACTATTTTGAAGAAATCTACCGCATATGCGTTCCGCTCCAAGTCCGAACGCGTACTGCTAGGCAGGCCCGTGTGTAGGGTCTGCCCCGATTTCTTTCCACCCTAGATCGCCACCGATATCGTGTTGTATGTAGCCCGCTTAACATAACCACAAATTGTAAAGTTGTACTATGTACAGGAGACATTACATTATTTATTGTTTTAATTTTTTGTGTAATATCTAATAAGTACATAAACTTTTAGTATCTATTTCATCAATCATCATGAAGAACGACTTCTATCAAAATTAAAATGAGGTGCACCCTTCTAAAGAGATTTTCTGTTAGTAAGGCGATAAATAACGCTAGACGTTATCATAGTCCTGATTATAATTTTGATCTTACAAATCATAATTTGAGCGTGCAACAGGAACAAAAGAATGCTCTACAAAGAACATCGGAAGATTTATCCATAATTACTTCATATTTTCCAAAGTCATTTAATTTTGCTGCGTATGTTAATAGTTCAAATACATTGCAGACTTTACTTCACTTAAATGTAAATCTTAGCAAAATTGAGAAGAAACCTTTTGTTGCTGAGAAAATATTAAAGTTAAATTTTGAAGAAGAGAATACTAAAGAGATTCTTTTGTTTATTAAGGATTATGTAGGTGTGGAATATATTGGTCATTTTTTAACAAAAAATCCTTTAATTTTGTTTGAAACTGCAGAAGACCTGAAGATAAGAGTAAACTACTTAGAATCAAAAAAATTTCAAAATGAATCAATAAGAAAAATAATTACACAGAATCCATTTTGGCTTATGTTCAGGTAATACATTATAAGTTATTCTCTACTTTTGCATTATCTGTAGGCAGTGCTTGCAATAGTCTTTTTGTTGAAGGTGAAGTCAATTTGCCATCGCAGCCAGGAATAATAGGTCACTGGGGACTGGAGGGCCAACTCTTAGTGCAATTTTCTTTAAGCTATATATGTAAGCCTTTTCAGTTCCAGGTTCTAAGCTGATTTCTGGAAAGGGCTTGGTATTATAGACACACATATGGTATGTATGTGGTCTATAATACCAAGCCTTGACAAATTGTATAATTACAATTATCTTGCATAAGTTGACTATGGAGAAAGCGTCTGATTTTGTTAAAATTACAATGGGCTTTCAATATTCCTGTTGTGGTTGCGGTTGACTCGCTGTCAGTACATATGTGTGAAGACTTTGTACAGTAAGGCTGCAATGGATATTCAAGTACAGAATCAGAATGTGTATGAAACTTATCCAACTGAAGGATGAAGGATGTAAGGTATGGTGATGTTATATCCCCGAAACTCTTCACTGCTACATTGAAAGGCGTATCAACAACCATGTAGTCATTATAGCAGATATGCTGCAAGACCTTAGTGCTATGCTCAGTGACCTCAATAGTGTCTCCTAATGGATAAGACAAGGTGTCATGTGTAAAGTCTATCTCACACCTATACTGGTAGTTATTGGTACCAGTACACTTGAGTTGTTGATGTGTATTGTTTACCTAGAGCAAATTGTTTGACTAAATTCAACTATGAGCAAGAGGTCATAAACAGATAACTTGATTAGGTAGCATTCAGGAGACTATGACAACACATCTGCTTATCTTAAATTCCTCCCAAGTTTGAAAACATGAGTATAAAACCAGAGTGTGTTGTCAGTGATGACTTATGGATCTGGGATGTTATAAGATGTTCAGTGTTGACTGTGTGAAGAAAAAGTATCTAACTCAGAGAGCAATGGAGAGGGTTATGGCTATGCTCCGAGTTTCTTTGCATGATACAATTTGAAATGATGATATACACTGTAGAATTACAGTAACTGATGCAGCCCAATGGATAAGCAAGCTTAAGTGGCAATGAGCTGGCCAGAAAGCACAAAGAACTGACATTGGGTAAGAAAAATTCCTGACTTTGTAGTCTCATACATGTAAGGGAGTATAGGGAAGTAAGTATAGGGTGGCCCTTATTAGATAGTGTCACAGAGTGTTGTGGCATCCCTTGGAAGAGGTCTATATTCAGCTGTGTACTTGTGAAAGGCTGTAATGACTTGATGAAGATGAGTGCTAGCACTATAAGCACATGTTTCCTTTAGTTGAATTTAATAATATTTTAATGTCTATTTAATTTAGCATTTTAATTTATTTTTACTGCTTGCAGCACAATAAGAATTGATAAACGATTAGGTTATTACCAAGAGAAATTTAAATTGTGTGGTAGTGAAGTAAGGTACTTAGCAACTAAACAACCAAATTTAATTACATACAATCTCCATCATATTCAAACAAATTCTTTTGTTATTAAAGAAGAAATGGGATTTAATGATAATGAAGTGAAGGAATTAATTTTAAAAATACCAAAAGTATGGATGATAAGTAAGTTGTTTTAATATTTATTTTATTTCTAGTTTTTTCTAATACTTTTTATTTTTGCTCTACTTAATATTTTACTTAAATATTTATAGTAAATTAAACGTTATACACAAGTTTGTTGTTTATACTTATTTAAAATATCTTATTTTCTTGCTTTCTATCTGTTTGTGAAGTTGTATCAGGATCGGTTTAGCCATTCTGAAAAATAGCCTGAACAGACAGACCAACACAAATTATAAAAATATTTATTAATGTATCAACAACTAAATCTTCTCCAGGTTTATTTCGGCTTTGGTGAAATGTAAACCCTTATGCTTTTAGTCCCAGAAAATATACAGCAGAAAATATATGAAGATTTTTAAATTAATAATAATAATAAAACAAAAGCTGTATCATTATTATTACAGCCTATTAAAAGTCCACTGCTAAACATAGTCCTCTCCCAAGGATTGTCTCATAAAAACGTAAAAAACACTTTTAAAAGGGTTATTTTATTCATAAAGAATACAAAATTGATAGCCACCACACAGAATACCATCATAAAATAACAGCTGTGTTTTGTGTAGAGAACCAGAGACCATTTTTACTGGAAATGAGCTATTCCATCTTAAACCTCAGGGGTGACAGCTCATCTGCATTCTGATTCTTAATCGAGGATATTGTAGATGTCTATGGGGCACAGCATCCACTTACAATCAGGTGAACTGTGTGCTCCTTTGTCACTTATTTTATTTTAAAAAATAGCTAAAAGCAACCATGCTTTTTCTAAATGTTTCTACATTTAATTAAACAAAAATGTACTAAATTGTTATTTACAACAAAGAAAAAATATGCTGAGTAGCAAGTGCAAGCACTTTAGTAGCAACAGTAGTTGAAACTAATTTTATGCCGCTTATTTCATATGAGGTGGTAGTTACTTTTTGTTCTTGCAACCAGTTGCATTTCAGTTATTAATTTATCCTAATTGTGTTATGTATACTTTATTGCAGATCAACATTCATTACTTGAAAGATTCAATTATGTTCACAATGTAATGAAAATACCACATGAAAAAGTATTACATTATCCAAATATATTACTATGTAGGAATTTTAAAGTAAAACAAAGGCATATATTTTTGGAAAAATTGGGCAGAGCTCAATATGATGCAACAAAAGAAAACTATGTTCCATTATCTGCTTTAATTGAAGGTACAGATCAGGATTTTTGCAGAACATATGCTAAATGTCTTGTCGATGACTTTAACACATTTTTAAAAACTATGTGAATTTAATTGTGTCTATCCAGCTTTACCCAACATCATTTTATTTTGGAAAGTATTTAGTGAGTGATATAAGAGTGCATCAATAATGCCAGCAACTGTAAATACTCCTCCAACAATGGCACAGACATTAGTAGCAAAATGGCCGATAGATCTGTAACAAAGATATATGTAAACAAAGTATAAGAAACATTAATTTGTGAGAAACTGTGGTTTTTTTTATATCACAGATAGTTAAATGGAGTACATAGACTTAATATATTCTGAAGTATTGGTATATTAAGTCAAACATTTCTAATTCCCGACGTTTTACACCCCACAGTTGGGGGGGCTGAATTGTTCAACATTTCAGTTAATGTTAACCTGAGCTTTTCTGTTGAGTTGAAGTTTTGCTGAGCACCTTGATTTTGCATAGGAAAAAATGCACAAACGGATATTTAAATGATGAATTTGATGATGATGGACCGAGGATGATGGTAAACAATCCTTTTCAGCAATCTATGGTATGGGAAAATCTTTGATTCATAGGGCACAGGCAGCATAGAGGTGAATCTGTATTAGTAAACACCTGGTCGCCGAGCTCATGACAAGCTTTGGGTCTCATACTTGCGTCGCAATGACAGAGTGAAACTGCTTTACTATATTATGCCAGAGAGTTACGCAGACAAGGTTGCCTCGCACCATGGTTGCTCAGGGGCTTAGCGCTTGCTGTAAAATACACGATACGCAAACAGTCCGGCTACCGATGTAATGATTAATTACAACTTTACATGCTGATTTACCGTTCTTGCTGACAGAAAAAATTAGGACGATGTAACAAAGAGATTTAAAAAAACATATTTCGAAGAAGCGTGAAGTCCGACAGTAAGCATTGTGGTATCGCAGCCACAATGTGTATTTTATAATTCCAATGATAAAATTATAAAATTACGAGGGCGGCACTGAAAATTTCGGGAATCAAGGAAGTGATACAACATTACTATTTAAAAATGTATTTATTGCTTTTCGAAGTATTCTCCGCGAAATTTGACACATTTTTCCATACGATGGAACCAATCATTGAAGCAACCATTCCATTCGGAAGTTGGGGTCTCCAAAATGGCCGTTTTGTAGGCGTCTACAGCTCCTTCAGGTGATGAAAATCTATGTCCACGCAATTTATTCTTTATTTTAGGGAAAGTATAGAAATTATTAGGGCTTAGGTCAGGGTTGTACGGCAGATGGTCTAATAATTCTATGTTTTCTTGCTCTAAAAACTCTTTTGTTCTGTGTGCGGTGTGAGAAATCGCATTGTCGTGATGGAGGATGATGCGGCGGTTGCAGTTCTCTTTACGGAGTTCAGAAACGACCTGTGGCAAACAAATACTAGCATACCATTCTGCATTAACCGTTCTTTGTCTCTCAAGAGGAATAGTCGTAACATGGCCGGTTTTGGAGACAAACGTGGCCACCATTTTTTTGCAACACTCCGTGAACGAACAATTTTTGTTGGCTTTAACTCATTTTCGAACACCCAAACTCGTGACTGGTTTTTTGTTTCGGGTTCGTACGCGTATATCCAGGCTTCGTCACCTGATACGATGTTGTATACAGCATTTGAGGATCCTGCGTGGAATCTTTGGAGAGTTCTGACGCACCAAGTAACGCGAGCCGCTTTTTGCTCTTCACAGAGCGAATGCGGTATCCATCGGGAAAACAACTTTTTTTAAACCTAATTGTTCATGCAAGATTATTTGTATTTGACTCATGCCAATGTCTAAAGTTAGCCTGAATTTCGCGGTATGTCACATGTCGATCTTCCTCAATCAGCTTACGCACAGCATCAACGTTTTGTTGTTTTTGGACGGCCTTGACGGGGATCATCACTGAGCTTGACACTTCCACATTGAAATTCAGCAAACCAGCGATAAATTGTGGTTTTGGATGGGGCTTCATCACCAAATGCAGAAATCATCCGGTCAACACACTGTTTTTGTGTTAAACCACTTCGAAAATCATAATAAATCATCGCTCTTGAATTTTCTCGAGTCAATTCCATTTTCTCAACGACTAAACAAGTTTGAAAAACCTTGTGACAAGACCGAGAATCTTTTTTTTAAATAAATAAATGGTATTCGATTTTTAAAACCAAGGAGTTTTCAATTAAAAAGATTTTAATATGACAGGTACTGTGGAAATATTCCATTCCCCATACTTTTAGTGCAGCCTAGGTATTACGATACGATGAATATGCAACTTTGACAGATAAATGTGTACTTATGTAGATATTTGACTGTGTATTCTGATAACAATATTATTTATTATAATGTATTGGGATAATTATGGTTACCCCACGCGAGTTTACGGACATTTGAAAATAATTGGTATTCATTAGCTCTTAACATCTGGTGGGTTAAGTAAGAGGCGATAGAGGGAAACGAAACACATCTTTCTGATAACAACTCAATATCATAAGCGGTTGCTAAGTGTGGTAGCTATGGCAAACATCCTGATATATGAGGCAATCTCTGGGGGAGGCCTATCTTTACCAGTACCAGCCTTTTGATATACTAATGATGATGATAAATGATAACATAAGTGTTTAGTTCTTACACATTATTGTGAGTATATTTTTAAAATATACCCACCATAATATTATCATTGTCATTCATTCACAAGTCTACTGACGAAATTTTATAGGCACATGGCAAATCCATGCTACAGCTATTTTTACTGGAAACGAGGCATTCCACCTTAGTCTTAAGGGATGACAACGCATCGGCATATTGATTCTAAATCTAGGTTAGACGTATAGCATCTACTTACCATCTGGTGGACTGTGTGTTCATTTGACATGATATAGGCCTCATCCAAGTAATGCAACGAAACACCTTTATTCATCGATTTCCTGCATGTCATACCACACCTACCTACTCCAAAAAGTAGACCTAAGAATGTAGGAAATATCTGCTATTGCATAATTCCTATATATTTTATTATAGAGTGGTCCCCCAGTAATCCGGCCCCTGGCTAATCCGTCCCCCCTTGTAATCCGACATGTATTTAACTTGTAGGTAGATTCGAGTCGCGCTATGAATTCGCCACGGAGAGCGGTGTCTCGCAAATATGTGGACAAACACCTTGCAAAACGTTTGTCAGATTACGGCGGTTCAACTATAGATTTAATTATTAAAATTTACTAACCCTTCATAAAAAAACGCAAATAGAGAATCTTTACAGAATAGAAATAGTACTAAATAATACTATTTATGATATGTCTGCCAGTCGTTATGAATTATTTAATCTATACGAGTAGCTGTGCGCCATGTGTTGCACCATGTTTTACACTTATTTTGAATCGTAGTCGCCCGCAGCCGCGTTCGAACCCTTGTATTTAAGACGACTTTTCTTTTCTTTTCCAAACTGCCTCCCAGGGACATGGACATCTTCAATAGCCCCTGTTACGCCATTGAACACATGCCGTGAATGTATAACTGAATTCAGTTTTCTTGACTTTGTGGCATAGCATCGATAAAGAGTAGAGTGTATTATTTAGATTTTTTTTATTCCTTGCATGCATGCATATTAATAAATACCAATTTGTAAAAGAGTTAAAGTATAAAAGGTTTCAGCTTGAGGGTAGCTGAGGTGCTTAGAGGTAGCCGTAAATTTTACAGTACGCGAGCAACACAGGTTTGATTCCCGCCGGCACCAAGAAAATTGTTACTTTTATTGAGCAGCTGATAAGAGCAGAAAACATCGTAAGGAAACCTGCATGTCTGAAAACTTAAAATAATATTTCAAAGACATGAAGTCAGCCCTCACACATTAGAGCAGCGCGGCCGATATTGCCTTGCGGGAGTTCCTCCGGTCGTGTCAGACTGCCGTTTTGTCATCAGATTTGTTTAATGCTGTCAATGATATTAAAATTATGCCCTACATCCACTCAATGATTATTTTTTAACTAGAAGGAAGATTATATTATAACCTATGTATGTTATTTTTATACTTTACCTTTCCTTTTCTGTGTATTTTACCATAAGGGGCGATAGTTCATAACTAAAAAAGGCTCCTGGCATTCCAGATTCCGAATTTATATTAGACACTGACTTTTGATGTCTAGTAACTGAGAACTGGTTAGTGTATAATACACTATCATCTAGTTTAACATACATTGTAGGAACTATTTTAATGTAGTATTGAAACATAACAGCGCCTGAAAACAAATAGTTATATAAATGTTAAAATATTAGTTTCCACCAAGTTCACCTTATTTTTTTTTAAATAATTTTTATATATATCATATTTTTTTAAAGTGATACTATGTTGTAAATTGTATACTGCAAGACGCGATAGCTCTTGGGCTAAGCGCTAACCGCCAATTTTATACCACGCGGGCAACATATGTTCGATCTCCGCCGGTAACGCTGCAATTGTTAATTGCAAAAATTATAAGTACTGGTTAACTACGTGCTTAGCGGTTAAATAAATCATCGTGAGGAAAATTTGCATGCCCAAGAAATAAAACATTTTGAGGGAATGTGAAGTCCGCCAACACGCTGAAGCAGCATGACCGACTAACTCTTTCAAATAAGAGGGGAGGCTTGTGCCTACCCTATAGCACTCACGTTCCATATTTAGGTTGCAACTTTTCTTTTTAAAAGTGAAACTTCTTTATCGTCGTAGTGGAGAAATTTAGCACATTTATTAAAAATAAATAAGGTCATGTTTTCTTGCAACGTTTCACTGCCGGGCTGCATGCGTATACCGTTAATTATTTAACCTACTTATGTAAAATATAAAATAAAAGAAGAATAATAAATAATATGTCGTAAAGAAGTTTCACTTCGTAAGTACGTGCTGTGTACACAATTACACGCACATTTTTTTAATTTATATAAAGGGCACCTTCATCACTATTTTTCGATATGACATAGGTAACCTCTGGAACGTAGAGGAAATTCTCACACAATTTTCGATACTAAAAATAGTTTATAAAAAGTGGCTCAATAAATAGAAACAGGCATCGAATTTTAAAACCGAATGAGGAAATACGAAAGTGGCAAACAGGAGAATGGAAAATTGTGGAAAACAGGGGATGGGTAGCAGTGTCTTGCTAATTACAACTAGAAAATGAGAAACTGCGGTTGCCAACCCGCCAGCCACGCGTGGCAACTATAGCAAACATCTTGAGACCTGTGTTCAGCGATGGTCTTTGATAGGCTATAACGGATGAAAAATAGCAGTAATAAGTCTGTTGAAGCGATTAAGTAATTAAGCGACAAAATTATTCAGCCGTTCATGTTAAAGCAACCGAAAAAGCGCGGTTTTACGTAGCAACTTAAGAAAAAAGAAAAGAGTGATCTGTACTCAAGATCTTGGTCTGTTTTGGCGTCTTGGAATACTATCGTCAACACTATTGGGAAAGTAAGTCTAAGTGGAAGTTACGCGGTGCGCAAGAGATGTGATGCGAGATTTTAGCCTCGCACCGGGAAATTACCTCAAGCTCAGAACCTCAGACAGCCAGTCTGAGGCAAGGTGAGGGTGAGGTGAGGTAGTTTTTAGCATTTTTTTCTCAATTCATCCACTCAAAAAAAAAAAAAACAATTAATTCGTACGAAGGTATTGTTGCGCGCCTAAGTTGACGTCTGGCACTAGCGCCATCTAGTGTCGGGTAACAGAGCGAGGAGAGCTTTCCAGAAAATGACGACTATGGTTCATAAAAGATAGCTTGATCTCTGCGATAGCCGACCTAATTAGTGCATGCCCATAAAGTATGACATTGACAGGTACTGTCTATACTACTAAGAAATTCAGGACTTCATAGGCGTGATTTTACTGACAGCTGTCGCAGAGATCAAGCTATGTTTTATGAACTATAATCTTTCAACCAACACCGCCACCTAGTATCGAATTGAAGAACTAAGCTTTCTAGAAGCCCCCACACCCGAACTTTCGGCGCCTGGTCGGTTGGCGCGCGTATTTACTTGAATATTCTGGATGTTTCGGGGAAAAAGGTGTATTTAAAGGTGCTGCAATACGCAATCGGAGCAGTATTGAATTTGGCGATACAAGCGAAGCTTCGGAGCGAAATAAAGTGAATCAGTGTGATGAATTATTAGTGTTTTAAGTTTTAATTGGTGTAAAGAAAATTAAAGTGTAAATTTTGGTAATTCAATCGGCAGTTTTTATTGTCACGAACCTCAAGCTCATAACAATTGGTGTCAGAAGTGGGATGACGACGCCGGGCGGCGGGATGGCGGCCGGTAGCACGGCAGGCACGACGGGGAGCGTGGTGGGCAGCGTGGCGGGCAGCGCTGCAGGGAGCAAGACCGGCAGCGCGCCTAGAGCAGCGGGGAGCGTGACGGGCAGCGCGGCGGGCAGCGTGACAGGCAGCGTGACGGGCAGCGCGGCGGGCAAGTTGGGCAGCGCGGCCGCCAGCGTGGGCAGCGCGGCGGCAGGCGACACGCCCAGCGCGTTCAGCTTGGTCAGTCCCAGCGCCACCGAGTTGCTCGCCACCGCGTCCATCGCCTGTATCTTGGCGGTGGCAACGGCTGCAGTTACAGCGACGGCAGTTGGCATGGGCACGTGCACGGTGCTGGCGCCGGCAAGCGCGGCGGGCTGCGTGATAGCGCGTCCAACGCGCAGGTGCTGCCCGCCCAGGTCAAACAGGTTCATGGACACAATGACCTCCAGCGCGGCGGCTAACGTCGCGTACTCGATGAATCCGTAACCCTTGTGTTTGTGCGCGGAAGTGCCCTGCGCCAGCTTGCAGTACGTGATCGGACCGAACGTCTCGAACACGTTCTTAATATCATTCTCAGTGAGCTCTGGATGTACAGAAGCTACATAAATGCGGTGTAACAGCTGTCGCTACTCCCGAAGACCTCCGCGATTTAGAGACCGGGACGTTGGTGAGGGACATGAAGTTGTTGCGAACACTGCGCAGGCTCGTTAGGACTTGCGCGAATGGCGTCACAATCAAATCTTCGCCGTGGCTTTTGCTGGCGATGGAGCTGTTCCTCGACATAGACTTAGGTGACATTTAGAAGTCGGGGTCGGATCGGTAGAGGAAGGACTCGCGGCGTTGCGGCATGGCCTGAAGGACCAGTGAGGCGGAGGGCGATCCGCCCTCAAGCGAGCAGCGAGCGACCCCCGCGCCTCCACCAGCACCGGCACCATTCTCAACATCGAAGCTACATATCCAGGAGTGTCTACGGCGTGGTATTGAAGCGAGGGTAAGTGCGAAAGTGGTGGCAAGGCGGTGGGCGTGTTGTCCGATTCATCTTGTGGCGCCGCACTTACACGTACCTCCGGCACCCGTAGCTGGTGTCGCCCGCTCATCACACCACTTAATTGTTAAGTCAAATTTTACATAGTAACATTCACTTTATTTTATATGCGTCGAAAACTGTTCACTTTTTGTTTCTTTTAAATTGTTATGGAACCCATTAAATCACACTATTTCCACATATTAATAAATATCTGACACACTATCGTAAACTGTTGCAAAATTTGAATATTACGCTTCAACAATACCTTCCATGTTAATAAACATTGCAATGATATACACTTCCTTATAAAAACTTCACTGGCAGCAAATAATAAAACAACAAAAACTGTTTTTAATATGCAGCGCGCGGGCCGTGTTATTTGGCGATACTAATTGTTAATCGCTCGTTATCGGGAAATGTAGGTAAGTGACATTTAGATGGCATGTGTTTCGAGTGTAGTGATGAGGGCGCTCCGCGGAGGTAGCGCGCTCACTCGCGGTTAAGAGAGGACTGGTGTCGCAAATGTACAGTTGTGCGGCTGTAAAGGGACCTCAGACTCGTAGTAGAGGTGCATTGAAGTTGTACAATGTTGGTGCACCATGGGAGAGAATAGTCATTGACGTGGCGGGGCCGTTTCCGGAGAGTGAAAGCGGTAACAAGTATTTCATGGTTGTGATGGATTACTTCACTAAGTGGCCAGAAGTCTTAGCCATTCCAAATCAAGAAGCTTCAACAGTTGCAGATAAACTAGTTCATGAAGTCTTCTGTCGTTTTGAAGTACCTTTAGAGATTCACAGCGATCAAGGAAGGAATTTTGAGTCTCAAATATTCCAGGAAACTTGCCGAGTTATGGGTACTCATAAAACAAGAACAACTTATCACCCGCAATCCGATGGAATGGTAGAACGATTTAATCAGACGTTGGAGAAGTACCTAGCAAAGGTTGTAGATAGTCGGCAGCGAGATTGGAACAAGCACATACAACCGTTTTTGTTATCATATCGAAGCGCTGTTCACGAAAGTACATCAGTGACACCAGCTATCGCAAACTTTGGAAGAGAATTACGGCTGCCTGCAGTATGACCGCAAAATGAACAACAAAGGATTCGACGAAGGTTCACTAGTGTGGTTGCACAATCCAGTCCGCAGCAACGGGAAATCTCCTAAGCTAGTAAATGGGACGGCCCGTACCGGATTGTGACCAGGATCAACGATGTAACCTACCGGATACAGAAAGGCGCAAGAGGGACTCCTAAGATCGTCCATGTGGATCGCCTGGCGCGTTATTATGGGGCCGATAATGCTCGGGGACGAGCATGTTATAGGAGGGGGCAGTGTTGCGCGCCTAAGTTGACATCTGGCACTAGCGCCATCTAGTGTCGGGTAACAGAGCGAGGAGAGCTTTCCAGAAAATGACATGACTAATCTTTCAACCAACAGCGTCATCTAGTATCGAATTGAAGAACTAAGCTTTCTAGAAGCCCCCACACTCGAACTTTCGGCGCCTGGTCGGTTGGCGCGCGTATTTACTTGAATATTCTGGATGTTTCGGGAAAAAGGTGTATTTAAAGGCGCTGCAATACGCAATCGGGGCAGTATTGAATTTGACGATACAAGCGAAGCTTCGGAGCGAAATAAAATGAATGAGTGCGATAAATTATTAGTGTTTTAAGTTTTAATTGGTGTAAAGAAAATTAAAGTGTAAATTTTGGTAATTCAATCGGCGGTTTTTATTGTCACGAACCTCAAGCTCGTAACAGTATTATCTTTTGTCCCCGGATTTCAGTTAAATAGAAACACAAACTAAAAACAAAGCTTAATTTACAAAGAATTTGCTCTTTTAACGGGCTTTAAGCATTAGAATTAGGTACACTATAACGACACATTATAAAGTGCTATATTATAGCTTGCATAAAAAAGATGTAGTAACAAAATCAGTGTAGGTTTACATACATGCAAAAATTAACATTACCACTAATCAACCTTAAACCTCTTAAAACTACAATGTCTCAATATAGCGTGTTGTGGATTTTAGATATTTCATGTTAACTTTGGCTGAAGACCTTGTAGCCAACGCAATAATAAAGGAGAAATTAATTTGTTTTAGTGATTTTGATCTGTCAGTTGTCATTTGTCAGCACTACTCTGTGTCAAAGAAAAATTTTACTTTTGTGTTAGGAAATTTATTATTAATAAGGAAAGATAATATTCCAAACTAAATAATGCCGGTACCAGGAGGCGTTTACCAAAGCCAAGGGCCTTCTTGTTTCGATAAAATGAAAATGGGTTTTATGATTGGATTTTGTGTGGGTATGGCTAGCGGCGGTTTGTTTGGTGGTTTTACGGCTTTAAGGTTATATTAATTTTCACCTTCAAGTAAAATTAAGATGATTCGACGATTAAGCTTTACACATAGTGTTATTTCAGATATGGAGCTCGAGGTCGAGAATTAGTTCATTCTGTAGGAAAAGTAATGCTTCAAGGTGGAGGAACCTTTGGTACTTTTATGGCAATTGGTACTGGAATACGCTGCTGATAGTTTCGTTAACTAATTTAATTTGTATATATGATAATAAAATAATATTTACTAGCGTAGACGGACTTCATTTAAAAAAAATGTTGGTGTAAGTTTAGTTTGTGTTGTTTTTAGCTGACTTCAAAGAAAGGAGTTTAACAATTCAAATGTTATTTGTTTTTTTGTTTGTTTGTACGTCATACGATATCGTGGTCAAACGTGACCTGATTTTGATTATTAAATGGGTTATATTTCAGGCGTGTTCTCATATAAAATTGGTGGAAAAATTCTACCCCTTAAGGCAATGAACATGTAAAACTGAAAAATAATGGGAAAATAGGGTACAAAATTTATAATGGAACTGGCTAAAGTGCCATATGTCTACCATCACAATCTCAATGTCTACTACATTAAGTTTGTGATATTTCTTAATCTATTCAATTTGGCAATTTTTTTTAAATGTTTAATGTAAGTTAAAAGCAAACAACTAAGAGCCATGGTAGTAGCTCAGATGGTTAGCACTTGCTGTAATTTTTCAGTATGCTAGCAACTCCAGTTTCATTCCTGCTGGCTCCAATGAAATTGTTAATTGCAATTTTAAGTTGAATAAAACTTGATACTGATTTTATCACAATTAATTTATTTTTAATTGCCGACGTTTCGGCTGCTTGATGGACCCTCTTATCAAGTTCGCACAAATATAAGAAATCATTATGCAATTTTAAGTGCTGATTTACCAAATGCTCTGTGAAGGGAAACAGTGAGAAAACTGGCATGTCTGAAATATAAGAAAAAAATATTTCAAAGACATATAAAGTTCGCTAACATGCATTGATGCAGCATGACATACATTTCCTTGCCCTAAAAAACTCAGAAATGAGAGGAGACTGGTGGCCAGTAGTGGGACATATATAGGCTACAACTTTCCAAATAACTAAAATGAATAAAAGAACATCACATTCTAATGTTGAGACTAATTCTTCTTTACACTATGTTGTCTTTGCACCAACTTCAGACTGAAGTTATTTAGTTTTTTTTTACTCTGAAGTTGGCTTTTACTTTTTATTAAATGATAAGTTATTTTTTTCAAACTTACCTATTGTAAAACAAACGCTTACTTTTAATTGACAGAAGGATTAAGTGGATACAATTTTTTCTTGTGACATATGCATTATATTATTTTCAAACCAAATTATCTAAACCCATTTTATTGAAGTTTTTTTTCTCTCTTGTATTATATTTTCTTACAATTTTATAGGGTCAAAAGAATAAAGTATTTCAGCAATTTAAGATTTTGGGAGTTAGATGTTAGGTACAGTATATTATTACAGTGTAAATTCTTTATTATATCTCAAAATGATGACAAAAATAAGCCTACTACTCTGCTGATATTAGTTAGTTACTCTTGTTTGCCTGCAGATATTCTCTTTCACTCTCTCACTCAAATGTGACCACAGACTTTCGTCCATAGTGAAACCGGAATCCGATAACATGATAATTTTTTGTTTAATACACACACTGCACATATGTAAATTGTTACAGACAGTACAAAAAATCCAAAAAGTGCGTAGTATTTGTATACTTAACAAAAAAAAAAACGACAACACATTCTAAGCGCCGGCCAGGTGCTGGGGCCTGTTTTTATGGGGAATTGTCTCCCCATATCCTTCTTGGTCAGGGTCATACATAGACCCTGCGGTTTTCCCGAGAGAGAGAGAGAGACATCGCAATACCTATACTCTCCTCCCATGGCTTCACAGCTGCCGCATAAGCCGTGCGGCCCCACTAATGTCGCAGAAAATCACCTCTTCCCCAGGACTTCATCTCGACTGTGATGAGCAGAGATAGAAGAATACCCATCCCACCGCGGACTAACAACACGCAACCAACTACAACTTAATTCACCGTGGATGACCAAGCCAAGACTACATTTTTCTGCCCACCCCACACTCCTCCTGTTTTCTGTATCCTGATGGCAGGATACAAATATAAATTTCACAAGGACAAACATTCAGACCCAGAACAATTACTTGTAAGCCATAGAAATACTTGTTCCGTGCGGGATTTGAACCTTCGGCCCTAAGCGCTGTAACTCATTGCTAATCCACCGCGCCACGGAGCCATCAATGTTTATTTATTTAGAAGTACTGCTATCAATGTTTATTTATTTAGAAGCACTGGAGCCTCAAATTATTAGTTAACATAGATAATTAATAATAGTACCTATGTGCTCTGAAATATTAAGATAAGTAAAAAAAACATTTATTTTTTTACCTCTACTTATTCTCAATCAAGTTTTGATTTTTGAATGATAATTATTTTGTTCAAAAATAATATTTCTTTGTCTTTAAAGATCTTTAATTTTCTTCTATCATTGAGGAATGAAGATAACAGTTTTTTAGCTGTAGTGTTTATGTTTCCCTGTTCCATTGTGACCTACTGTAGCCTACAATACATTCATAGGTTATTATATTTTATATATAAGACTGCACCTTACCTTCTTTGGCTAATCCTTTAGCTCCATCCAGAGGTGCTGTGTTAGCACTTTTTATATTAGTACCAAATGACAAGTGGTTGATATAATGTGTTGTATTGAATGCTGATGAAGAATATGGTTGCACATCATGAACATGAACATGATTTATTGTGAAACTTTTTCCTGGAGCTATATGAAAACTCCCACCAACCTAGAAATAAACCTTTTAGTTGAAATAATCACAAAAATATGTTTAATAAATATTTTGTAAATGCAAGGCATTCATATAACATTTAATTAGATAAATATATTTTCCTTTGATTAACACTTTTCTGATTTATATCAATGCATGTCTAAATTGTTCGTACTTTGTAATTGTCTATGGTGTTATGCAGTGATCATATGTTAAGCAGTGAACTTATTGCTTTGCATTTTGATATCTTTAACTGCTTGTAAAAGTTCACCACTACTGGATATTGGCCAATTGGTTAGCAGGCAGATTTAACTTAATTTTCATGCATGGCGACTATGGTACCTCTGACATCTCACAGTTTTGACGCTGTACATAATTTGACTGATCAGACAGGCATTGCGGTGATTTCTTTCGTGTTAAAGACTTTTTTAGAGTTGAGATTGATAGTAGTAGGTGAACTACTTTTTTTAATAAGACAAAAAAAAAAAAACTTACTCTGTTTACTTCCATGTAACCATATAATTGGCAACCTTCTTTTAGAGCTAAATTAGCTTTCTCTAGTGATTCATCATCTTTGCATTGCACAATAGTAGCCAAGTCCGGTAGAGCCCATCTTCTAAGTCTGTATGCTTCTTTCACATCTTCACATGTATTACAACATCTTGAAGAAATGCATAATAAATTATGTACTATCTTATATTACACATTATTGGTGTATTATAAATTTATAATATTTGCTCTCACACTGTTTTAGTGTCTGCTCCAGTAATTTGTTAATAATGTTACAAGTTCTAACATTATGACATTTGTTTATATATATTTTTATCATTGGTTACATAAATAATAATAATAATGTTTAATTAATGCTTGAATTCTGCTGGCTCCTGATGGCAGGAAATCTATTCAAAAATGGCAATCTCAAACTCTATAGACTGGTGATGGGAATAGAGTCAGCAGTGCCAGGGTATTAAGAAAAGAAAATTCAGACTCTCACAACCAATCTGCTCAAAATGCTGTGGGCAAATCTTCCAAGCAATGCTGCAAGGTGACACATTCTTGTCTTGGCCTAATTTGAGCACAGCTGAAGGTCGCTCTTAGAACAACTTTATTTCAATATATACACAATGAAAAATATTACCTCCATAATAGGAATTTTTCTTGAATAATAGAAGCATCTTAAGCCAATTATATAGATGAAATAGAGACATGTTCCAACAGCCTCAATGGTGCAAATTGAATTGTAAAGAACACACATCAAAGTCAACAAAATTCAAAGTTTGAGTGGCCTGCTACACTTATCACGAAGTTTAGTAACTTTTCGAAACAGTTATGGGTGTCAACACTAGACTGAACTAATTACACTGTTTGAAATTTATTTTACTTTAAAGGAAACCTAATAAAACAAGTAAACTGAAGTGGTAATGGCCTGGTGACATCTGTTACAGAAATTATAACTATTGGAGTAGACATGTCATAAAGTGGAAACCAGGCTTATGTAACTGTAGTATGGAAATGTAGTTTGATAGGAGATCAGGGTAAGTTGTGTGCCTTGGTAGATACCTATCATCAGCTGCGCAGTTGGTGATGAAACGGGGCATCGTAAGAAAATCCATGACTGTATCGTCCAGTGAGTATCGTAAAAAGTGAATATAGGAAATACCAGGAAAAAGCTATGGCTTCATAAAGATGGCAATATACCATGTCATTTATATAAAACAACCTTTGGCCAGTAATGGACTTTTATAGGCCGATCAAACAAATTATAAATAAAACAAAACAATATGGTGTTCTCAAAATTGTTGTACATTCTGTGAGTCATCTTTGCAATAAATGTGCATGCAAATATTTACATAAAAGGCTGGAAGGTGGATTTGTCTTTCTATTTGCAAATGCAAAATGTATTAAATATTTTCTATATGTCTGTCCAAAAATTGTCAGTGTCAGTGCCAGTATTGGAAACATTAAATGAAACATCGAAAGATAACATTTGATTAAAACATTTCTAATCTATTGTGATAAAACAGCCCTAGAAAAATTTCAGGTATGTACTAACTGTGAATCATTAAATGCAGCTCCATAGCAGCTACCACAGGTAATTGTGGCCAGTTCCGAACTGTTTTGTTTGATCTAAAAAAAATGTTTTATATTAGGAAAAGGTTACATTTACCAAATATTTTATATCAATAAATTTATATGATAGTAAAATATTTATACTGTTGAAGAAACAGCAATTTCTTCTTTTTTTGGCTCATCTATAGGATTTCCATTAAGGTCTAGTCTTCTTTTATGAATATTATGATCCATTTGAAGGTGCTGTTCACCAGAAGAATCCATTGCATCCAGTACTAAATCTGAAAAACAGCTTTTTATACCTATTTCATTCTTTTATTTCAAATATAGATTTAAGTTAAATATAAAAAAATGCATAATTACCATCTACAGTAGTGTCATAAAAAATTCATGATAGAACTTATTGTGTGGGTGTTGTAAGAGGCAAAACTGTGCTTTCTATAAGATTGCAGTATACTATTTTAGACTAACTTGCATACATACATTTATTAGCCCATTCAAAGTTCACTGCTGTACATTGGTCTTCCTCATTGATTGCCTTTTATGGAACTTTGTATAAGTCATACGAAAATACTCAGACATGCAAAAGTGTTCGACTGCAATTATTAACTTACATGGCAAATTGTGGTTATGGTAATTTTATCTTACGATAAGAGAGGTCCATGACTAGCACAGGACTAATTACAGGCCGATAAAGATGTACAATTGCAGTTCAATACTGCAAGCTAGTATAACTTACAAATCGAAATATCGTAAAATATGTGAAAGGTTTTCTACATTTAAGCTAAGAAGAACATTTTTCTTAGCTTAAATTTAGAAAATGTTTTAATTTTCTGGCATTTTAAAATTATATTTACCAGCACAAAGAAATCGAAGAAATTTAATTATTAATGTGACTTTTTAACTTACAGCTACAAGATATACTGGGAACAGTTATATCAAAATTGATTCTTAACTTATGTCCTCTTGATGTGTCTACAAACAGTTCCTCTGATATATTTGGTGACATATAGGTGTATAATTCCGAAAGAAATAATAACATCATAACGAATATGCCGGCGACGGTAACTGGAACGAATCATTAAATAATCATTTTAGTAATTTACTAAAGGTTAAACAAAAACATAAATATAAACTAACTTGTTGCTCCTGTAGCAGTTTTTACTTTGAAATCTTCTAGCGTTTTTGCGTAGGCATCGAATTGTTTAAATTTATCAATAATTTGGGATGACATTATTTAAAAATTAAATAAATTTAATAGAAATCTAACGTAAAAATGTTTCTTTTGCATGTAATTTTTTAATTTTTTTTAAAAATATTTCATGAATATTTCCGAAGAACGAAATCATAGATTACTGACTATATAACGAAATCAAAACATCACAATCACAAATCAAATGACAAATTCACAAACACGTCAACTTTTACTATTAAGATTTTTGGCTTAGATGCTTGTTCTTTAAGCCACAATTTGATTTCATTCAGGAGCTTCGTTTTATAGATTTTTTCTTCACAATATGCTGATGCGTCATACTGTGAAGTTTTTGTGAGATTTTGACGATAGCTCATCACAGTGGTTGTTCGATGACATCAGTTACTCAAGACTATAAGGCGCTTAAGCGATTTAAATATCTTGAGAATTAAATTAACATTGCCGCACCATTGACTTACTACTAGCGTAAGGACCGGGCAACAAATAAAACGGACCAGTGCGCTGGCCCTAAAATTGCAGTTTAGGGCCGACACGAATCGCTGGACAGTGGTGGGCGCGCAGGATAGATTTGCCTGTCACAAATATGTCTAGTTGCGTGGTAAAAGAATGCAAAAATTACAATACAAAGATTTAAAAAAACAAGGGATATCGTACCATCGGTGAATAACCTTATATTCATTTTGTTACTATTAGTTTATTATATAAACGCATTTTTAAAGTTTTATTTTACAGTTAGTTTAGTTACGTTACCAAGATTAGGCCAGGGTTGGATTCAGACCCTCAAAATATTGTACATGGAAAATAAAATTATACTATTTAAAAAAATATATCGCGGTTGACGTTTTATGTTTCTTTTTCCCCATGTGCCTGGATTTTGGCGTCACGCGTCTAGTTTATCTATACGTTTCGTTTTTGACGGTTTTATGTTTATTTCTGTTTAATTTTGTCTAAAGAACTTAGAGTAAGTTAAATTGTGAATATTGGTACCTAATATATTTGGTGAGCAGTGGTAGCTCAGATGGTTAGTGCTCGCTTTAAATATCACAGTATGCGAGCAAACCGGGTTCAATCCCCGCCGGACCAATAAAATTGTTAATTGCAATTTTAAGTGCTGATTTACTACGTGCTCGGCGGTGAAGGAGAACATTGTGAGGAAACCTGCATGTCTGAGAAATAAGAAAAAAAATATTTCGAAGACATGTGAAGTTCGCCAACACGCATTGGGGCAGCGCGGCGGACACTTCCTTGTCCTAAAACCCTCTCAGAAATGAGGGGAGGCCTGTGCCCAGCAGTGGGCAGTGGGACGTATATACGCTGTAACTTTAATATACTTTATATTCAATAAGGGTAAAACTAAAAGAGTACAAAAGAAACCATATCTGCTTAATTGAATCTGAAAATCTGATTCATAAAATATTTTGAAATTCTGTTTTCAAGCCGATTACTCCGAATCATAGAGTTTTTATTGTGGTAGCCCCTTACTATAGTTGTATCAAGGATAATAATATAATAATAATAATAATAATAATAATATTCTTTATTGACATAAAATTTTTGTTACAACATTATTTAAGCCTCTGACTCCCGAGCTAGGTTAGAAAACCTGTGTTACGAGAGTCAGCGATCTCCCTAATATAATGACAGCTACTTATTTTATGTAAATAAAGCAATTTTAAAATCTGTATGTGCGTGTGTGCGTGTGTGCATGTGCGTGTGTGTGGGTGTGTGCTTGTGTACGTGCGTGTGTGTGTGTGTGTGTGTGTGTGTGTGTGTGTGTGTGTGTGTGAGTGCGCGCGAGTGTGCGTGCGTTTGCGTGTGTTCGTGTGTGGATGAAATTTAAGATTTAAACAATTTTTTTATACTAATATCGATTCAGTTTGTTCATAATCTAATCCTAATAGCCAATTCTTAATTTTAATTTTCACTTTTCTACTAGTTAAGGGATATATATTTGTTAACTTATTAATTTTGTTGTATAAATATATAGCTTTATATGCATGTTGCCGTCTAGCAGAGGCTGTTCGACATGTTATTGGTAAACATACATTTTTTATAACCCGGTTTTTGTTATAATCAGTGGCATTATAAATGGTAATCATATGCTGTTTAGTAATTAACTTGAAAATGTACAGTTGCCTCACAGTTAATACTCGACATATCTCATACAATTCTTTAGTGGGAAATCTGTATGGCCTAAATGCCATGACTTTTAAGACGGATCTTTGTGCCCTTTCCAGGCGGATTAGAAAGGTCTTACAGGCTCCTCCCCAGACGTTTATACAGTACCCTATTACAGACTGAACTAAAGCATAGTAAATTGAACGCAAGAGAGGTAAATCAGCAGTGTATCTTAACTTTTTAAACACCCAAATAAGTTTTCTAGTACGTTCAGTTGTAAGCTCTATGTGTGAGCGCCAGTTAAGTTTGTCGTCCAGTACTACACCAAGATATTTGACACTATTGGATTTAGTAATTGCAAGACATGAACATGAGGGGATAGTATTGAAAGGGTTAGTACACGAGTGGACCTTAAGATCAAGGTTTACGGATCCAGTGTTTCCCAAGGAGAACTGCATGTATGTAGTTTTCGAAATATTTAAAGTTAGGAGATTACCGCCGAGCCAATGGCCAACTCTGTGAAGCCCCAGCTGAGCGTTATGTCGAGCCTCATCCCAAGTCTTACCATGGAAGACTAAAGCTGTATCATCAGCATAGGTAAATATTTTGCCGTTTACTAAAGGTTGCTGACATAAATCATTTATATAGATAAGGAAGAGACTAGGTCCTAGTATACTTCCCTGTGGAACGCCACATACAATCGATTCCTCGGGGCTGACATATTCACCCACTTTAACCTGTTGTTTACGGTCACATAGGAAGTCCTTAAAAATCATGAGTGCATTGCCACGAATACCAACGCGTTCTAACTTGCTCACAAGGATAGGAATCGAGACCGTATCAAACGCCTTGGCCAGGTCGAGGAAAATCCCCAAACATTTTTGCTTTGCATCAACCTTTGATGTTACAAATTCTGTCAATTGAATTACCGCGTCTTCAGTGGACTTCCCCGACCTAAATCCAAATTGTGAAGAAGATATTACTTTATTATGTTCTAAAAATTTTATAAGTCTATGATTTAATGATTTTTCCAAGATTTTAGAGATAGACGAGAGTACTGAAATAGGCCTGTAATTGGAAATTTCGTCTCGGGATCCATCCTTATGAACAGGAGTGATCAGCGATTTTTTAAAAACTTTTGGAAAGATTCCTTGCGCATAACAGAGCTCAATAAGTTTAGTCAAGGGTGGAACTACTAGATGTACTGATAATTTGAGAAGTTGCACAGGTATAGAGTCCCATCCAGTAGCAGAGTTATTTTTTAAGCTTCTGATAATCGATTCTACCTCTCCCTCATCTGGTGGAAGTAGCACAAAAGAGTTAGGAACCGATGGGATTGTGAAATTATATGGAGAGCTATTTTGATTTGAAATATTTGCAGCGTCAGCTAGTTTTTTACCAATATTAGAGAAGTATTTATTTATGTTTTCTACATCACGAACAGCATTTTCATTAGAACTCAAAAGGTTATCAGCACTCGTCTTTTGTTTCGTGTAATTTATTATAGTTTTAATTGCATTCCAGGTATCTTTATTAGTTTTCGCATTACGTAATAGTGACTTTTCGTAGTTCCGTTTAAGGTTTCTCAACAAAGAGTTACAATAATTTCGGTAGCGCTTATAAGTGATTTCAAGAATTTTATTTTCAGGACTTTTTTTAAGTTTACGATGAAGTTTGTCTCTGTGTCGAATACAACGTAAAAGACCAAGAGTTAGCCATGGTTTTAGCGTTCTTTGTTTATTAGGGACACGACGGGAATGGGAGTGAAGTGAAATTGCACTAGCCAACTTTTCTACAAGAGTTAATGCGGCTTCATTTGCATCAGATGAAGTGTTTATAAATGAAAAGTCCACTGTCTCTAAATATTTTAAACAAGCATCGTAGTTGATTCTAGTAAAAAGCTTTGGTTCTTTTGGTATTTGCTGGCCAGGGCAAATGCTGAGTAGGATTGAAGAATGGTCTGTTATAGTACTATTAATCACAAATACTGATGCTGCCAAACTAGTTTTGAGCATGACATGATCTAGACAGCTATGTAACCTAGTAGGATAAATGTGACCCGGAAGCAAAACTAGCTCCGCTGTTAGGTTTAAGTACGCTTCACTTCTTCCATCATTGTTATTAACTTTAATGTCAATATTAATATCACCAATTAGTATTATGTTTTTAGTTGAGTCCAGTGGACGAACTATATTTTCTATGGAATTCAAAAAACTGTCAATACATTGAGTCGACGGAGATCTGTAAGAAGCTAAAATGAAAATGTCGGGATCAATAATTTTAATAGATATAAAATTAGCACCTAATGGCTCTGGTTCTTTTATTGTACATTTAATACCTGTTTTAACATATATCACTATACCGTCGTTTTGATTGTGACATTTGTGCGTATAGTACATATTGTAATTTTTAAATTGAGGGATTTGTTTACGGGCACTCAGCCAGCATTCAGTTAAGATAATGATGTCACATTCAAACTTAAAACGAGACAGTTGGACCAGTAAACTATCTGAGTTTTTGTATACGCTGCGAATATTTTGACAGAATATTTTCAGGGAATTAGACTTATTTTTAATTAGTGAGTTACATGTTTCAGTGTCGCACTCATAAGCCAATGCTTCATCTATGTTGTCTAACTCTGTTGAGATATTTTCATTTGCATCAATTACCGCGAACAGGTTGATATATTGGCACTTATTATTGTTATACGTACTTGGTTTATATTATTATGGAATGCAAGTAAACAAGCTATTGATGTGATTTTTACGAGTATGAGTGAGGTTATAATTGAGTTTATGTGTTTGAATAGTTTTTCCACGATGATATTTGGGGTGAGTAAAGTGAAGATGTCCAGGTCAGTGTGAGTATAGTGATGAAGTGTATCCACAGTATTATAAATTGTTTTAAAAATTGTTCTTAAAATTAACTTACAAAATTTTCTATACATACGATTAAATTTACTGTAAAAATGAGTGACAGAACATGTTTTGGAAGGCATATTCTAAATTTATATATACGTAATCTAATTCTGCTGACTAAATTTCTCCAAATCGCTCTGGAATGACATTTCTCGATTGGGTTCTGCATTCTCCATTTCAGTTGGCTTAGAGAGAAAAAAGTTATCAGAATCAATTCTAATAGACCTTTCACCAGTCAATTTTCGGATAAAAACTTGGCCATTAGTCGTCCAGCAATATTGGTATTTATTGTCTTTGGCGTACATTCTAGCTTTTCGAAATAGGGCTTTGGAGCTTGGTGGTAAATATTCTGAAATATATATTGGTATGCGCTTACCAGATAACCCAATGGATTCGGAGTTAAGTTTTTCTTCGGTCGGTTTCTTTTTATTGAAATTTATAGCCGCTGACAAAATATTATTTTTGCCGCGCACCGTTACAAATTCGGCCACGATAGTTTTATTCGTTCCAGGTTTACCCGGTAGACGGTAAACATCCCGCACTTCATCGTGTTTGATGGGAATATGCAGAGCATTACATACGCTGCTTACTATGGAAAGCAGGTCATCGGTCGTCTCCCTTTCTTGCATAGGGATATTTCTAAATTCTATTGATGCCGTGCGGGACATAACCTGTAGATCGAGTATTTTTCTTTCCATTTTCATTAAATTTTCAGTGTACTCGGAACGTTCTTTTTCTAATTTTGCTATCTTTTTTTCTCATATCATCATATTCTGTGGAGGCAAATGTCATAAATTTGCGTATCTCCAAATTAGTCTCTTGTATATATGTAACTCTATTTTGCTGTTTCAAATCGGAAATTTCGGTTATCAATTTCGAAAATTTTAAGTCTTGTTCAGCTGCCCAGTTCTTAAACATCTGTTGAATATATTTTTTCAGCCTAGAATATTCGTCTAATGGTGATCCATCAAGACGTGGGCGCTTTTTGCGTGTAGAAACGTTGGAGGTTTCAATTTCATCCTCGTAACGCATGGCACTCACCATATCGGGCTCGGATTGTACTTGTAGTAATCCACTCTCGGACACAGGTGGCGGAGTGCGTTGCACGAGTGACATTTTTTTTTTATATTTTTCAGCGATTTTAATACTTGTTTGCAGAAATAGCTATTATGCTAATAACGAGTTCGAGACAGAAGACTCCAGTGGAGGCGATCTTAATTACTGTAGGTTATTAGTTCTGTCGGCTGCCGGCTGTCGAGTTCAATTGTACGCTGTTGATTACAAATATATGAAAAACTTACAAGAACTCCGAAGAAGTAGTTTGGTAGAATTATTTTATTTTTATTGGTAGAATGTACGCTTTTATATTATGGCAACATTTATGAATGAAGTGACTTGACGAGTTGACAGTGACAGCAATGTCAATTATATACACAGTGTCAACAGATTTTAATATGACGTAAATATAACTTTTGTATTCGTGGGTAGAAAATATTCAATTATTCGCCGAAAAGAATTTTTAGTTTTAGATACTGATTTTACACGGTTCACAGTTAGTTTCGATATTGAAAACACTAATGTGGAGACTTAGGCACTTTCACTGCAGAATAAGTTTATTGTAGAGCACAGAATCACAGGATTTGCACTTTACATAAATAAAATTTGCGGAGCGTGTGTGCTTCAATCAGCGACTTGACAGGAGATCCCAAAGGATGCAACATAAATGCATCGATCGAGCATCGATTGACCAGAAAGGGAGCGAATTCGAATTTTATTAAAAAAAAACGCGTTACTCATGTACAATACAGAAATTATCGATATCGTAAGGTTAATATTAAAATTTAAAAGGATCCAGTAATAAGACAAGTCGACCTTTAGGTACAATTATGGTATTTTCGATAAGTATTATTATGATACTATGTCAGTAGGTACATAATTATACTACGAAATCCAACCCTGGTTAGGTCGTGTTTTGATATGACGTTTGTATTATGACAGATGCGCTACTTTTTCTTGTATGAAAAAGTTATGAGTAAAATATTTAGATGGGCCTATCCTTTTTGTTTCGTCGTTTTCTCTTATAATTCATATGCGCAGACACTTAATACACAAAATCGCATCACTTTTACGTATTGAAATCCACTTCAAACTTTGAGTATTAAACCAAAGGAGGCGGCATCACAAGGCATACCCCTCTGTAAAAGGTACGAGAGTCCGACTCATGCCCGTTATATAAAACTAGTTGCTCCGCGTCGTGCGCCATTCCGAAGTGATCGTGGCAGTAAATCGAGCTCCGACAAAATGCCAAATTGCAGTGTAAATACACATCCAAAAAACAATCAAAAACGTCAAATCTAGGAAAGGACAACGTGACTTTTCATCTGTGAGTATTTTTAACATAATATTCAAGTAATATTATCATTAAAACTTATACTTTCTGAATATTTTCGTCAAATACAGAGTGTGGCATAAATCATAAAGTAAAAAGTAATCTATTTTTAAATAAATATAATTTACTACACAAGTTAATTATATTAACGAAAATGTATTTCCTAATAACTAAATCAGTTTGTGATGAATAATAATCGTTACATATAGATGTGTAGTGGATTTTGTTAAATGATTGATATATTCAGCTCAATTTCAACATGAATTTGAATATTATATCATCATCATCATCATCATCATTACAGCCCTTCACAAGTCCACTGCTGAACATAGGCCTCCCCTAAGGTATGCCACAAAGTACGGTCCTGAGCCACCTGCATCCATCGACTTCCTGCACGTCTTACCAGGTCGTCACTCCATCTAGTGGGGGGTTGCCCTACACTTCGCCTACCGGTACGAGACTGCCAATCGAGAACCCTTCTTCCCCAACGGTTGTCGGCTATATTGCCGGCCCATTGCCACTTCAGCTTACTAATCCGTTGGGCTATGTCGGTCACTCTGGTTCTACTGCGGATATCCTCATTTCTAAGTTTATTACGCAGAGAAACTCCGAGCATATGTAGCCCTCTCCATAGCTCGCTGTGCGACTTTAAGCGTCCTCATACGGCCAGCAGTGAAGGACCACGCCTCGGTTCCGTAGGTCATCACTGGCAATACGCACTGGTTGTACAGCTTAGTTTTCAGGTTTTGAGGTAATTGAGTAACGACGCAATATTATATAATTTAATATAATTGATTACAAGTATCTATCAAAATATTATACAAAATAAAAGTATAAGTCAAATCGAAACTTGCTAACTCGCAGCAAAAGTGTGCAATTTTTATAGAAATAAACTGGTATCACTGCAACCGAAAGTATTGCACTATAGTCATGTGCGCTACAATTTTAGCTATTGATAAGTTAATTGAACATGCGCGTTTGTCTGTCGAACCGGTTTGTAGTTTTTATTTAAATTTTACAATAAAGTATTACAAATAAGGTAATAAATTTGGTTTGTTTTTACAGATTTCCAAGAGATCCTTTTAGGGGTCAAACTTGGATTGCTGCTTGTAGAAACCATGAATCATGGATACTTAAACGGACTAGCACCATTTGCTCCGAACATTTTGAAATATCATATTTGAAGTGTTTGAGCCTAATACCAGATTGTCAAATGTGCGTTTAGCACTTTCAATGCATACAAGAAATCCTAAAAATCCTATGTACCTCGGACTGTTTAAAAATCATCTGTATACGTTGTTACGAGAAACGACATTGATTTCTATGTTTAATAGAACATCTTTAGCCTCATCCAATCTGGCAAAGGCTCTTTGATAGTTATTACTATTTAATGCTCGTTTAAATCTTTTAGACCAAGTTTTTGAGTCGAGAATATCGAAAACATCATTAATTAACTTTAAAAATTAGCTATGGGTGCAACGTCTTCAAATAAAAATAAATTTAGTACAGTTTGCCCAAAACGTCAGCATTCTAATTTACACAAATTACAGTTTTAAATAATAGTAATAATATGAGATACATGTCAAAAGGACAAATAAATTAAAGAATACATATCAGTAGATCAAATAAATAACAAATAAAAAAATAAAATAAAATACATACCAAATAGATTAGAAGTCAAATAGATTACATGTCAAATAAATTAAGCAAAATGTCATTGTCAGATTGATTAGATAAGATTAAAAGAATACGAGAATATATTACAATATGTCAAAGTTGGATGTTGATCAAATAGATTCTTGGCAGGGTACAAGTGCTTTTAGGTCAGCACTTGTACCCTGTACTAAGAAGTACCCAATGGGTACTTTACAAGAAGTATTAATGCCCATTAATAAAAATGCTAAAGCATCAGTAGCCTTCTCCGCATTGTCAAAAATGAAGTCAAATCCATAATTAACATAACCAAAATGTCTTTTAGAACTTACATGGTACTCCGTCAATTGTTTTATTTTCATTTCATCTATCACTAATATACAAGAAATTTTTTTACTTTTACTCTCTAGTATAAGTTTACAAACAGTTAATGCTTTTTTTGTGTAGGCAAGTCGGCCATCAATTGTACTATACCACTTTGTTATAGTATGTGATGAAGGCAGACAAATTTCAAAACTTTTGATATTTCGCATACATCGTTAAGCTTTCGGTGAATAGTAATGTAAAGTTAAAGCAAAACATCTTTCTTGGGAATACTTAGCCCTAGGTAGATGTCAAGTTTTATTTTTAAGCAGCTGTCTGTTTAAAGTTTACGTTTTTCAACTATTATATTATGTAAAACTAATAAATGTAAAACTAATTATTTTCCAGATAGTTCATTTAATAAAACTCTTGAAAATCAGCAAATTTTTAAAGTAGCGGTTTTGTGATTGAAGCCTTATAATAATAACAAAAATTTGTTAACACCATCTAAGGCGATAAACTGATACGACTTTTCTTTTTACAAATATAATTATTAAAATAAGTTAACTTAATCTCCCATTTCGATTTGTTACATGTTTTAAATTTTATCCTGCATTATGTAAAATAAACCTGTAGCAAATGAATAGACTTACTTTTAATAATTTCAAAGTTTTTTCCGATGATCATTTATAAATATTTAAAAAAAAAGAATTTCAAATAACCTTGGAATACATTATTTATCTATGTATTACTTACAATCATATAAAAACTTATGTGGACTATGGTAATTTGTTTATCGATAAAAAATATCGACTTAGTCCAAGCCCTACGTTGCTTGTACACACGTGTACAATTTGATGGTATGCGTAAATGCAATGAACACCAACACAAATGCTGTAATGTGCGTTTATAGTGACGCGATTTAATTTTGCATTTGTAGTTAAGTATTCAGTTGTGTGTTTTTCTTGCGCCCCTATGATGTTGACAGAATTTTTGTTAAGGAATTAACGTGCATGGCCTCTCCAGTTGGTTGAATACTCAAACCATTATTTAAACGATAAAACGAGCAATATCTGTCCACGGTCAAGTTCCCGCCAAAATTTAACGTCTACTTTTTAACTTCCCACTAAGAAATTTTAAAATTTTGAAAAATACGGAAGCTATTGGTTTCACCCCGATTTTCGAAAATCGAGTTTTCATCAGATCTCGAGGTTTTGAGATCCCAGGTTGCTAATTTCACGTGGACGTCCGTACGGATGTATGTTTCTCTCTCTCTCTGTGTGTGTGTGTGTGTGTGTGTGTGTGTGTGTGTGTGTGTGTGTGTGTGTGTGTGTGTGTGTGGTGCGTGCGTGCGTGCGTGTGTGGGTGCGTGCGTGCGTGCGTGTGTGGGTGCGTGCGTGCGTGCGTGCGTCTACGTGCGTGAATATTATAAACAACTATTAAATGAAAAATTTCCAAATGAAGACCCTACACCTTGCAAATCTACATCTGAACCAATACCCAAAGTATTGTTGAACTGAAGTTAAATATGCAATAGCCAAAATGAAAAACCGAAAAGCTACAGAGCCAGACGACATACCAGCGGATCTATGGAAAGACCTTGGGACAATAGCGGCAGTATGGCTAACCAAGCTTTTTAACATTATTCTAACGACTGAGCGCATTCCGGACTCTTGGCGTCAAAACTATCTACTTACTGCCTTTCTATAAAAATAAGGGCGATGTAGTGCGAACACTATAGAGGTATTAAATTGACCTCACATATACTTAA